GAACTCTTCTGTTTCACAGATGAAAAAGCTGTGAAGGAGCAGCCCCAAGTCTCCAGCTGGGAGAGGCAGAGCTGGGGTACTAACCACCGTGCCTAGCCACCCCGCACTGTGGGGATCGCCATTAAAAGGCCAAACCACCTCCCTCTCCTGCCCTCCCCATGGTCACTGAGGCGCACCCTCGATGGAAAATTTACTTTAGCACACTTAAAAACTTTATATTCCTGGAAGAAATTAGAAGTGGTTCTATCATACCAGCTAACATCAGAATTCCTGCGTTCGAGTCCAGAGCCGAGTTGTGTAGGCCTAGAATTTTCCTTTCAGATCTATGAGTGTGCAAGGACAGGCATCCAAGGGCATCCATGCAGTTTTGCTTGTGATTATGAAAAACTGCAAACACCTAAATACCTATCAATTGGGAACCAGATATTTAAATTATAAGAGCTCCTAATATTGGAATATTTTTTTGACATCTGTTCTTTATTAAACAGCCATATGGAGATATAATTTATGTACCATAACATTCACCCATTTAAAGTATACAGTTCAGGCCGAGCGCGGTGGCTCACGCCCTGTAATCCTAGCTCTCTGGGAGGCTGAGGAGGGTGGATTGCTTGAGGTCAGGAGTTTGAAGCCAGCCTGAGCAAGAGCAAGACCCCGTCTCTACTATAAATAGAAAGAAATTCATTTGTGCCAACTTAATTATATATAGAAAAAAATTAGCCGCATGGTGGTGCATGCCTGTAGTCCCAGCTCTCTTGGAGGGCTGAGGCAGGAGGATCGCTTTGACAGGAGTTTGAGGTGTGCTGCTGAGCTTAGGTGACACTATGGCACTCACTCTAGCCTGGGCAACAAAGTGAGACTCTGTCTCAAATAAATAAATAAAGTATACAGTTCAGGCCGGGCGCGGTGGCTCACGCCTGTAATTCTAGCACTCTGGGAGGCCGAGAAGGGCAGAGTTCGAAACCAGCCTGAGCAAGAGCAAGACCCCGTCTCTACTATAAGTAGAAAGATGTTTATATGGCCAATTAATATTTATAGAAAAAAAATTAGCCGGCATGGTGGCACATGCTGCTGAGTCCCAGCTACTTGGGAGGCTGGAGCAGAGGATTGCTTGAGCCCAGGAATTTGAGGTTGCTGTGAGCTGGGCTGACGCCACGGTACTCACTGTAGCCTGGGCAACGAAGTGAGACTCAGTCTCAAAATTAAATAAATAAATAAAATATACAGTTCATATCAGTGATATTGTAAAAATAAATGTCTGAATATGAATACCACATCGATTTCAGTATTTAACTAAGATTAAGAAAAAGAAAAAAACAAATATAAAGTATACACAGTTCAGTGGTTTCTAGTATATTCACAAAGTTGTCCAAACATTATCACAATCTAATTTTAGAACATTTCATTACCCTGAAAAGAAACCCCATACACAATGAGTATTTGTGCCCATTTTCAATAAATGAGGATATCTTCTTCCCTGTATTTCAATGGAATTATATTCATGATGGGCAAAAAGGTATGCTGTGAAAGTATATTACATTATGTACCTCCATTTATTTATAAAATTATATATGCACATATATACATGTATTCATTTATTAATTATTTATTAATTGTGTTTGCATATAGTAAATACTATCTGGAGAAAGGAATGAGGAAATTTTATTTCATATACTTTTTAATATACTATTTCTATATTATATATTTTATATACTTTTTTTTTTGAGACATAGTCTGCACTTAATTGTTGCCCAGGCATTTAGAGTGAGTGCCATGGCATCGCCTATCTTCACAGCAACCTCAAACTCCTGGGCTCAAGCAATCCTCCTGCCTCAGCTTCCTGAGTAGCTGGGACTACAGGCATGCGCCACCATGCCCAGCTAATTTTTTCTCTATATATTAGTTGTCCAATTAATTTCTTTCTATTTATAGTAGAGACGGGGTCTTGCTCTTGCTCAGGCTGGTCTCGAACTCCCGAGCTTGAGCGATCCTCCTGCCTTAGCCTCCCAGGGTGCTAGGATTATAGGCGTGAGCCACCGCGCCTGGACTTTTTCAGCATATTGTTGAGGTACAAATGTTAAGGTTACATATATTGCCCTTGCCCCCCTCCATATACTTTTTTATATTAATGGCATGTCACTATTAGAAATGATAACCTAAAAGTGAAATAATTGGGAATATCCAAAGCTGTTACAAGGTGTTTAGGAGCAGCTGCATCTGATAAAACATTTGAAAGAAATGGATTTTTCATTGAACCTTCTAGTCTGCCATTAGGTGGCGCCATTGTCAAGCTCCTGCAATTTCAAACGTGCTGGGGAACAGACTGCCATTAACTGTTTCTGCCAGTAACATGTTATTTTCATTTTTGCCTATTTTTCGAGTCACTTGAAATTACAAAAAAAAAAAAAAAAAGTTGAAGCTCCCTTCAGAAATACTCCACTATTTCATGCCAATTGGAGGCAAACCAAATGAGCTGCTTATTAAAGGAATGCAGTTTATAGATGAAAAATACTTTAAATGCATGTACAAAGACATGAGAAGTAACACCTGAGCAGAAAAAGAAAAAAAATTAAAGATAAAAATAATTTATAAAAAAAAAACAACAGAAAAACAAATGCATGTACAGACTGGCACGTGGGAACAAGTTTCCTTTAGTCCTGTAAAACCCCACTATCCTGATTATCAAAGTGAGAAATGCTGTCTGTTACTTTGGAATGTTCCATAATTCTGAGCAGGCTGGGGTTCCTACCTTTCCACCATCAACAACCCCTTCATTATTTTTATTTCATAAATCTCATTACTGGGAATATTTTATCCAACATGGTGTTGACTAAGTACTCAATGATTTTTCTATTTGTATTTATTTATGTATTTGATTCATTAAAGTCTCTGACAGATGAGGGACAACCCTGCCAGGTTGACATTACTCCGAGCAAGAGCTGGAGGGACTTGAGATGAGTGGTGCGAGCAAAGGCCCTGGGGTGGATTCCCCGGTCTGGCCATGGTGCTGTGGGAGAGACTGTGGCTGTACAGACCTCACAGGACTCGGCCGCAGCACCTGTAAGACACTTATTGCACTACAATGAAGGCCCGTTACTATCATGGGCATTTTGTTGGGGGTGTGCCGCCTCATCCACAGGTAGCCACTGGAGTCTCCCCGCTGACCCTAACCCTGAGAACTGCTGAGCTGGGGACCGGTGGTCTGGATTTACCTTTGGACTGGCCATGAGACTACCCAAGAGTGCTTCTCCTCCCTGCTTGGAATGCCCAGACCGCGCTGTGCATGTCTGGATGAGCTAAGCAATGGGATTCTTAGGCTAACAGGTTTATAAACAGTCAGCGATGCATCCACTGTTTTGGGCAGTTTTTGTGACATCTTCTAGCACTGATCTGGTACCATGGAAGTGAAGAGCACAAAGTGGAATATTGGTGAGTCCTTTTCATTCAAGAGAACAGTCATTTTGCAGATACAGTCAGCCTTCCATATTCGGGGTCCACAGCCCCAGGATTCAACCCACTGCAGATCAAAAATATTGGAAAAGATAAATTCCACAAAGCTGCAAAGAGCAGAACTTGAATTTGTCCTGCACCAAGTACTACATTGAATCCACGTGAATGAAGTGATCTGTAGCATTGTATTAGGTATTATAAGTAATCTAGAGATGATTTTAAGGGCACTGGAGGAGCGTGCAGGTCACATGCTAATATTATACTATTTTATGTAAGGGACTTGAGCATCTGTGGATTTGGGTATCTGCAGGGGTGCTGGAGTCAACTGTGCATGGATACAGAGGGACGACTGTATTCATAAAGGGAAAAGTGTAATGACATAAACACCCAACAGCATGTTTAATTGAGTCACTAAGACCTGATCTCAGATGGTGTGGATGTAAAGAACAGATTATAGTAATTTTAACAGCTGGTCAGAATTTGGTACTTGGATTGCTTAGAGCCAGACCTACCAGCAGGAGGCTTTGTATTTACTTCTCTGTATGTGAGTGCTACAAGGGTAATGTGTTCTCTTGTTGATTGCAAAGTGCAATTCTGAAGGCAAAGCCCCACGGACATATGAAAGTTGACTTTACTGGAGAAGGTGAAAAAAGTTTCTCTCCCATAGGAGGGAGACAGAGGAATTTGTCTCTCTGATTTGAATGATAGCGTGTGGGTTGGGAGGGGAGCGTGTCCCGGCTTTGAAACTCACCAGGCGGTGATCTCCTTAGGAGCAGGCAGTGTACTCATTTTTGTAGCCCTCTCCCCCAGCCTGCAAAAGTCATTTTGTGGCCACGAGTAGAATGAACTATATGTCTCCCTAATGTCTGGGCAGTAAATGGGGATGGGTGGTGATTGTAGCATTTGGAGCCCCCAGCAAGGACAGGACTGCTCCCCACTCCCTGGTTTGCCCTGTCGTGCTCCTGACCTTGAGGTCATGCCCTTTGCAGGTCCAGATCCTAGGAAAACAAAGCTAATGGGACTCGTTCGAATCTTCCCTGCCTTGGTGACTTCTGTGGGCTCCTGGGTGAGTGGGGTGGTTTTTGTAGCTGTATTTTGCCACAGGTGGAGGGGAGGGAGTGAAGAGAATACATGGAAGAGAAAGCTGTATTTTTTAAAGCAATAATATTATTTTAGGCATTGTGCTGAATTTAACAGCTTTACATACCATAAAATTCACCCATTCGTCGTAAGTGTATGACTCAATAACTTTTAGTTGGGAATGCCACGGAAAATATGGGATGCTCAGTTAAATCTGAATTTCAGATAAACAGCACATGCTTTTCTAGTGTAAGTATATTCCATGCAATATCTGAGACATACTTACATGAAAAATAGTACTTGTTTCTTATCTGAAATTCAAGTTTAACTGAATGCAATGTCCTGTAATTTCACTCACTAAATTTGGGAACCCTGCACTTTGTAAATATGGAGTTATGCAATCATCACCACACTCTAGTTTAGCACATTCCCATCACCCCATACCCTCTCTCTTGCCTACTGGAAGTCAGGCCTCACTCCTCCCCAAGCCCCTGTCAATCACTGGTCTGCATTCTGCCTCTATGGATTTGGAAAAGGCTGTATTTTTAAGCAGAAAGACCCTGTTACATAGCACAGTTCAAACGCTAAGTATTTGCATGAAGTTTTGGTTTCATTTCTTCAAGAGAAGCCACGGAGGACACTAGTGCCCAATGTGGGGATTCTCTTCTGCCATCTGAGGGGGCTCCGGGATGCAGGTATGTGGATTCTTTAAAGCGCTTGGTGCTTACAGACTACTTGCGTAACCCAGCGGTGGCGAGGCTGGGAGCCTCTTGGCCTGGGCCTGAGAGTGGGGACCCTTTTCAGGCCTGGATGAGGTCAGGGCAGGAGGTCAGGAGATGATGTCAGGCGATTAGAGGGGGCCATTCAAGGACACTGCTCATTACGCTGACAAAATGCCGGTCCTTGGTAACCTGGGCCCTGTCCTGGAGTGACTTAACTAAATGAAATATTATAAGTCAAGGTGCCTAAAACAGCTGGAAAACAGCCTCTCATGAATTCAGAGTCACATAGTTGCTCCATGCCCACTTGGGGCCGAAGCCTCTGGATCTAGAGATACCCATTAAAGATGGCTCCCGATTTAAGAAAGTTAATTCTTGGCCGGGTGTGGTGGCTCACGCCTGTAACCTTAGCACTCTGGGAGGCTGAGGTGGGCAGATCATTTGAGCTCAGTAGTTCGAGACCAGCATGAGCAAGAGTGAGATCCCGTCTCTACTAAAAAAATAGAAAGAAATTAGCTGGACGACTAAAACTATATATAGAAAAAAATTAGTGGACATGGTGGCACAACATGCCTATAGCACTCTAGCCCGGGCAACAGAGTGAGACTCTGTCTCAAAAAAAAAAAAAAAAAAAAGGAGGCCGGGCGTGGTCGCCCATGCCTGTAATCCTAGCACTCTGGGAGGCCAAGGCAGGCAGATCGCTCAAGGTCAGGAGTTAAAAAAAAAAAAGTGTTAATTCTTTAGTGACTAACATTTTTGGGGCAAACCATATGCTGGCATTTTCAAAGTGCTTTATATATGGTAATGTCTAATCCTCACAAACACACTCTAAGGCAAATATTATCATTCTCTCCATCTTGCCTATAAAGAAACTGAGGCTCAGGGCGGGTGCGGTGGCTCACGCCTGTAATCCTAGCTCTCTGGGAGGCCGAGGCGGGCGGATTGCTCGAGGTCAGGAGTTCGAAGCCAGCCTGAGCAAGAGCAAGACCCCATCTCTACTATAAATAGAAAGAAATTAATTGGCCAAGTAATATATATAGAAAAAAGTAGCCGGGCATGGTGGCTCATGCCTGTAGTCCCAGCTACTTGGGAGGCTGAGGCAGGAGGATCACTTGAGCTCAGGAGTTTGGGGTTGCTGTGAACTAGGCTGACGCCACAGCACTCACTCTAGCCTGGGCAACAAAGTGAGACTCTGTCTCAAAAAAAAAAAAAAAAAAAGAAAGAAAGAAACGGAGGCTCAGAGAGGTTAAGTAAGTCCCCCAAGGTCACACAGCTAGTCTGGGCCCAGAAGAGCCTTTGCTCTTACCACTACTCTGAGTTGCCTTACAACATGGTGCATAAGTTCTGTGGCAGCCCAGGAAGCAAGGCATCAGAACCACTGGGAAGGAGAGATGAGGCATCTCCCCTGGGGAGTTAGCTGACCAAAGAAGCAGGGAACAGCATTTCAAGCAGAGGGACCAGCACATACAAAGATTAGCGTCAAGAGACCATGGCATGGATGAAGAGTGACTGACAAGGCTTGGGACAAGTGACATTCAAAAATAGTCTCATTTTGGCAAGAGAAAGAGTCTTGAAAGAGAGCCCTGAGAACTTCAGGAGCAACTGTTAACTTGGTGAACTGTCTGTGGTTTCTCTCTCTTGCTCACAAGGCCTGTTTCTTCTTCTGTTATAAACGGGCTAACTGCACCTGGGCTGCGGGGCTCAGTGGCGTGCCGGGAGTCTGTAAGATGAGGAGATGGAATGACGCAGGTGGCATGCACTAGCCCGCAGGTGTGATGCAGCGCTGTGTCCCTCCAGCTCTGCTCTGGCACCTGTGCCCACGGACACCTCTAAGAGGGGCTGAAGCCTTCCTTTCCATCTGGCAGAGCCGCCTCCTCCTTCCTCTACCTGCAGGCTGAGCCGGGAGCGGCGCCAGGCGTCCAACCAGCTCCGGCGCTGGGCATGTGTTTGCGGGGCTCCGGGAAAGGGAAAAATCCTATTGCTGGCTCCGCTTGCTGGCTCCCTTCCTGGTGATTTATTACTATGGAAACCGAGCCCTTTTCCTCTTGGCGCTGCGGGCCGGCGGGGGTGCACGCAGTGGATGCCACGGCTGCACAGGTCAGAAGTTCCTTCCTTTTTCCTGCTGCAGGAATGCCACGGTAACATACGTGGCCCGAGTGCGCAGCTCACACCTGAAGAGCCCGGTCTTGGGAAAAACAATCTCATTGGATTCCCCAGGGGCCCTGGGGGCCTTCAGGGTGAGTGGAGCCTGGGAACAATGCGGGTGAGAACAATGCGGCCTCGGGCTGCACTGTGGCCCGGCTGTTCCCCTTCCTTCAGCTCTCCAAGCCCGGTTTAAAATGGATTTACAAGCAGGGGCAGGTAGCATTGTTTTAGGCGGCAGAAAACTGAGACTCAGAGTCCCTTTGTGTGGGCGAAGCTTCTTGCTGGGGCCCACCCACTGCACATGCCCACCCGCTGGCGGAGACCCCAAGAGAAATCTGTTCTTGGCGGTTCAGGAGTGCAGGCGGAGGGGCCCGCAGACACTGGAGGGGCGAGGGTGCTGCAGGGGGATGAGGGTGCAGGGGCGGTCTCACACCTGTGTCATCATGGGGTTTTCAGGTGTTGTCAGCGGAAGCCCAGGTGGAGGCTGGCTCGGTGGGGGTTGGTCCAGTGCGCAGGCCACTCCTTAGAGGCCTGGCATCACACGTCCCCGTGCCAGGTCCTAGACGCGAAGACACAGGGCAAGTGGTGAGTGAGGACCCCAGAGACAATGAAGGACGCTCCCTGGCCGGGAGGAGGTCCTGGGACACCTCCAGGCCCAGCAGTCCCCTTGCTGGCTGCACAGACTTGTCGTGGCCAACCGCAGGGCCTGGGGTCCTTCTCTGCACGTTGACCTAAAAGATCCCTCTCTAGACCTCATCCCATGGGGGGGGAGGGGCCTATGGGTGCCTCTCACTTCCCCATCTCTCTCTTTCAGAGGTGCATCTCGGAATAGTTTTCTGGGGAAACTGGCCTCGAAATGACCCAGGAGGGAAACATTTCATTTAGGAGCTGGGGCCTTTCGGCGCGTCTCTGGAATAATTTCCAGAAGTCCCCGTTACCTCCCTGAATATCCAAGATCTTTCCTAGGACAAAACGTTCCTGTTCGTTTCCGCCTAGAGTTTCCCTTTATTTGGAATGTATTTGCTCCTTCTCACCCTGGGAGAAGATGTCAAGTTCCTTACACATTCTAAGCAGCAGTGAAAACATTATTGTTTTGAGCGACCTGAACCCGCAGATCCTGAACCCTGGCCTCAGGGAAAAGCAGATGGTGCCAGAGGTGATGGCTTCAGAACGGCTTACCTCACCCCTTCCTCTTGCTGCGAGAGGATGGACCTTTGCAGAAATGAGGATTTTCGGACAACACATGGCAGTCTGCAGGGTCTCACGCCCCAGAAGACCGCAGGGGAACTGGAGAATTAATTGGGAGCTGTAGGGGTGGCCTAGTGAAGTAATCTCCCAACGGCATCTGCCTGGGGGACACCCCCCAACCAGCACTAATACCCTTCAGGAACAGGAAATGGGTCCATTTTTAAAAATTGATGTTTTTATTGAGATGGTAGTAAATTTGCATGCATTTGTAGTCAATAATACAGAGAGATACACTTTGCCCAGTTTCTCCTGATGGTAACATTTTGCAAAACTACGGCATGCTATCACGACCAGGATATTGATTCAACCCACGGATCTTATTTACTTTCCCCAGTTTTATGTGTGCTCATTTGTGTCTGTGCGTGTGAAGTTCTATACAGCTTTGTCACCTGTGGGGGTGCACGTATGTGACACCACATCCTACCCACACCCAATTCCTTCCCTACCCCCACCCCTAGCCTCTGGAAACCACTAATCTCTTCCATTTCTAAAATTTTATTTCAAACATCTTATATAAATAGAATCATATATTGGAGGATTGGCGTTTTTCACTCAGCATAATTCCTAGAGAGTCATCCAAGTTGTCGTGTGTGTCAACAGTTTGTTTCTTTTTATTGCTGAGTAATAGTCCATGGTATGCATGTATTAATAACACATTTATTTAACCATTCACTCACTGAAGGATATCTGGGCTGACTCCAGCTTTTCAGGAAAGCTGGGATTAAAAATAAAGCTGCCTCGAATGTTCATCTACAAGTTTTTGTGCGAATATAAGTTTTTATTTCTCCAGGCAACTGGTCCCTTTTTAAACTGCTCTAATTAAAGTGGATCCTTAACATTCGGGAGTGACCCATCTGAAGCCCCAGATGTGTTCTCACGTTCTCAATATTGGAAATGTTTATACAGGCTCCTGGCTTCGTCCTAAATCACATGAACCTCAGTTCTGTCTAGAGGCACCGTTTCCTGTGCATATTCTCATACTCCAACTTGGCTGCCTTTTAAAAACTTTTATGTATCTATTTATTTTAATTTTGCTTAATCAGGTAATGAAGCTGTAAAGAGACAGGAAACATTCGGACAGTTGTATAGAACAAAGTGAAGGATTACATCCTAGAATAACCGCAGCGAATAAATATTTCATATTTGATGTATTTCAACTTTTTCAGACTTTGACCCCTTCCATCTTCGTTCTGGGTCAAAGGTTTTTCTATTGTGGGGCATTTCAAGAAGTTCTGAAATGTTTTTCTTCTAGAGGCACTGTTTGAGGAAGTAAGGGCTCAGGGCAGCCAGTGTTGCAGCTGCCTCCACTACTCAGCTGGCTGTGGGAGCCAGGGCAGGTGTCCTAACCTCTCTGAAAGTTCTGTTTCTCTCTGGTAAAATGGGGATAATATTAATGAAAGTACCTGACTCATAGGTAAAGGAGATATGAGAAGTGTTATAAACCTTCAGTAAATATTAGCTACCAGCCTGGGCACAGTGACTTATTTAGCATTTTCACAGCTCTTCCACATGCTTCTGGGTCTGGTCCCCCGAACTGAGCATGTGCAACAAAACACAGTGGGACTGTCACCAAAGTTCCGCCCTTGGCCTCGAGGCCACATCAGAAGAACAAGGATGAGAGGTTTGAGGAGAAGGTAAACGAGGAGGATGTGTGCTACTGCCTGAAAAAACACCATCATCCTTCTGAGCACAAGTGCAGAGCTTTTATTTTATTTTATTTTATTTTGAGACAGAGTCTCACTGTGTTGCCCAGGCTGGAGTGCTGTGGTGTCAGCCTAGCTCACAGCAACCTCAATCTCCTGGGCTCAAGTGATCCTCCTGCCTCAGCCTCCCGAGTAGCTGGGACTACAGGTACTCAACACCCTGCTCAGCTAAATTTTTTTTTTCTTTTTCTTTTTTTTTTTTAGAAGAGACAAGGTCTCACTGCCTCAGCCTCTGGAGTAGCTGGAACTACAGGCATATGCCACCACTTTGGGAAGCCAAGGCAGGAGGATCACCTGAGCCCAAGAGTTTGAGACCAGCCTGGGCCACATAGCCAGATGCAATCTCTACAAAAAATATTAGAAAAATTAGCCAGGTATGGTAGTGTGTGCCTATAGTCACAAATACTCTAGAGGCTGAGGCAGGAGGATGCCTTGAGCCTGGGAGTTGGAGGTTGCAGTGAGCTATGATGTTGCCACTGCCCTCTAGCCTGTATGACAGAGCAAGATTGTGCCTCAAAAGAAAAAGAAAAAATGCCTTTCAGTTATAGTCTTTGGATTTAAAAGTATTCCCTGCACACCGGCAGCTGCCAGGAAGGGAAACCGCCCAGGCCTCCCTGTCTCCTCCCTGTTGCCCCAGGAATTAAAGGGGTTCAAAGCTGGGAGCTGTGAAGAGACTGGGGTCTCAGGCTGTTAACAGTTCAATTTCAACCTCGTGGATCGATGGCTTGCAGGGGGCGGGGCAACCACAGAACCTAATCAGTGTCGGCAGATTGCTTTTGAGCAATGTTTAACATTTGCTCACCACCAGCCAACTTAAAAACAAACTTCTGGATCCAAACCCAAACGATAAGCTGAAACTGCATGTACTTTAAACCAAAGTCACTTTTGTCTCTAAAACTTGTTTGCTGATCTCTAGATAAACCATGACCGTTTTCCCCCCCCCCAAAAATTATTCCTGGCAGGTCATTTCTCCGTGAACTTATGACAAACCAGTTACAGTTTCCTCTTATTTAGCGAAGTTGATTCATCTTGGATAGAAAGAGGGGGAAAGGAGAGGGAGGACACAAATAATGCTGTATTGTTGTTTATTACTATCATTGTTACTGTCACCACTGCTGTGGGGACATCAACCCCATCTAACGGACAGAGGGTTCCCCAGCACCTCTGAATTTCGACATCTAACACACCCTCAGGAGGAGCCCTGACATCCTGGTGAACAAGTGTGGGTAAATGATAGCAGACTAAGGGATTGTAGCTTATTAAACATTTAGTATCCAGAGAATTCTGATTGAGGTCGGCCTGGGGCAAGTCCCTGGTGGAGTGCCACAGGGCTCACTCTTCATGCTCCTCCCACTGATATTTTATTAATGACTTGGATGAAGACTCTGTGACTTTCTGATTAAATCCACGGATGACTCAAAGCTAGGAGGAGCAGTTAGAGGAGAGAATCAACCATCCGAAAGATCCACAAGGTGCTGCCCTGTGGGTAGATGCCATTACCCACCCTAAAGAGCAGAGGAAGGGTAGGAAAGCTAGGAGACACCTGAGAAGGTAACTCCACGTGCAGCTCACTCTGCAACTCCCAGGAGAGCCTAACTCAGCTCCCTTGCAGCCCTGGAGGCCTGGGCCAGGTTTTAGTCTCTCTTTAGGAGCCCATCTTGGTGCCCGCAGGAATGAGAGATGCTATCTCTGCCGAGAGATGTTGTCTCTGCGAGAGATGCTGTCTCTGCGGGTTCCTCGCTGTTTCGCCCTGGGGGCCTCCTAGAGGACACTGACCTGCTATTTCCTGGGCCTCGTCTGAGCCCCCTCCCTCTGATCTGCAGCCACAGTTAGTGCTCTGTTTCCTCTCTCTCATCCCCTCAATAACACTAACTGAAAGAGAAAATAGTGGGGAAGCAGATGCTTCACCCCCCCCAAAAGATCTGGCATTTCTGCACACGACTGTGGCTTAGCACAAGGTGTTCCTGTGACAGGCTGCGTCCCAGAAGGGGTCCTGAGCAAGGGTTGTCAGAAAAACAGAGGATGCCCAGTTACATCTGAATTTCAGATAAACAGTGATTTTTTGGTGTGTCCTGTGCTGCAGGGTTTGTACTAGAAAAGTTACTTTCCTGTAAATGAATTCAGCTGTGACTTGGTTGGTC